AGAACAATTTTGTCCGATAAAAAAATACGAGTACAATATTTATAAAATAATGTACAATTGTACTATTATAGAAATACATAAACAAAAAATAAGAATACCATAATGACCTAAATCATTCCAATAATGCAAAAGCGTAATTGAAATATCGAGTCTTGTTTTAAATAATCAAAAGAAGATTAATTAAAAAAAAAAAACTTAACCTAAATTTATTTTTAAAAAAATGCAAGAAAATAATTTTTAAGATTCCTTATTTATAATCTTTGATGGTCAACTTTGAATACTATGTATTTAGTCAGGATAATTATTTGAGCCAAAGTTTATGTTAAATTTTATATTATATTTTTTTAAAATATATTTTAACATATTCGTAGTATATATATGTTTAACAATTATACCAACTCTATTGGGATGGGGTTGAACCTAAGACCTTTATTATAGAAATTAAGGGGTAAGTTGAGAATAATAAATAGTTCACGAAATATTCCGTTGCTAAAATTTATACTAACGGAATGCATGATTATTTAAGGGAAATAAATAATATATTAGAGGGTAAATAAGAATAATAATAATAATAATACTAAATTAAAATAATATGAACCATTCATTTTCACAAATAATTATATCAATATATTTTTAGTCTCGTTAAAGGCCTAACTTTAATTGCTTTTATTATACTAGTATTTTCACCCGTGCGATGCACGGAATGAATTTGTTGTAATATATTAAGAATATTTGAATCGATATATAATTATTTAAATTAGAACATCAAATATTATATAGTGCAATTAAATATATGGTTTGGATCGTTTATGTATTTTGATGCTATCATTGCTTGAATTTGTGCAAATAATTGCTCAAATTAATAGCTACTGTTTCGATGTACGCATGCGATGCAATAACTTTGAAGATTTTATTTATTGTTGTTTAGTATTTTCATAAATTAGGCAAATGTGCTCGTTCTCTAACAACCCGGTTATAGGAATGAATTCTATCCTAATTCATTTGTATGGAAGTTATGTTTTTGTTTTTTTGTTTTTTTTTTTTGTTTTTTTTTTTTTTTTTTTTTGTCTAGATATATAGCAATTTTTTCATTTACAAAAAATATAATATCACAGATTATATTTACACATTACTAAAATCTCTTTGTAAACGACAATAGTAGTGGCAACACAATTTTGTCCATCATCGTCTAGAGCTAACACCTTCAGTCCATTAGGACGGGTTACTCGAGTGAAAATATATAACGGTAGAATATCACTAAATTAGTGATCCTTTTATATTTTCAGTCAATTAGTAATATCATATTCATTTCAACCAATTATTCTTTTTTTTTTATTTTCAGTGAATTAGTCCATTAGAATATCAAATGCAGTGATATTTTTACCTAATTTTCGTTCCAATTTTAATTGATGATGTAGATATTATTATTGAAATATTTCTGTTCCATTTTTAATTTACCTTTACTATTGTTTAAAATATGCATTTACTATTGATGATGTAGAATATTATTATTGAAATATTTTTGTCTAATTTTTAATTTTCGTTCCATTTTTAATTAAAATGCAATGATCTAACCATTTTTTTAGTTAATTATGGATCATTTTTTATTTGCAGTCAATTATTAATATTCATTTCTTTTTATATTTTCAGTCAATTAGTAATATTAGATTCATTTTCATCAAATTATTCTTTTTTTTATTTTAAGTCAATTAGTCAATCAGAATATAGATAGAATGATATTTTTATCTAATTTTTGTTCCATTTTTATTTGATGATGTAGAATATTATTATTGAAATATTTTTGTTTTATTTTTAATTTTTGTTCAATTTTTAATTTACCTTTATTATTTTTCAAAATATGCATTTACTATTGATGATCTAGAATATTATTATTGAAATATTTTCTTTCCATTTTTAATTTTCCTTTACTTGATGATGTAGAATATTATTATTGAAATATTTCTGTTCCATTGTTTGAAATTGTGAAAGATTTATGATATAATTGTGATTTGATTTATTCTATTGTGTAATATTATTGTGAAAAATTAAATTGTAATAATTTGACAATTTCGTTTTCCATTTTAGTCAATTATAGATCATTTTTTTTTTTAATTTTCAGTCAATTATTAATATTTATTTTCTTTTCCAATTTACATAATTCTCGTTCTATTTTTAATTGATGATGTAGAATATTATTGTGACATATTTCTATTCCTTTTTTTTTTTTTAGTTTACGTTCCCTTTTTAATTTACTTTTACTATTTACTATTGTTTAGGCGAGAAATCAAGTAAATAAGTTTTTGTTTTTAATTATAGTATAGAAGTATAGATTTGTAGAGAGCTAAGAGCATCTACATCAAAGGAGAAATGGGGGAGAATTCACTACTTTTGAGGTCAAAATGTCATGGTGGCAGAGAGAGAACCAAGAGAGAGAAGGGGTAGGGAGCATCTGCAAGTGTTGGGATATTACTCTGCCCAAGAAAAAAAGAATTAATGATGGAAGAGGGAGAACCAATAGAGAAAATGAATTACTCTGACATACTTATATTTATATATATATTTTTTAAAAATCAGTTTTGATTTTTTTTCCTCTTCTCCCACATTATTCTCTTTCCTACCCACTCTTACATTCCTCTCCTAATATCTCCAAGTGACAAGGATACTCTAAAGATGTAGAGATTTATACACGTATGACCATTGACGAAATCTCTGAAAAATTCAACAGGTAAAGGTATATATATACTTGTTTCAGCATCGGAATCAAGCTTGGACCATTCAACACTTGGTCCCACGCTCCCACCAAATCTTCTGAAAAGAAAATTAAAATCAATTGAATAACTCAATAAATTAATTATCGGACAGAATTCTAGTATTCCGGAATGTGCCACGTTATCCAATGCTTTGACGGCTTTGGTTTTTTTTTTTTTTTTTTTTTTTTTACAATAACATAAGTTTTTTGAATTTGTCCGATTATAGGTTAGACATCATAAATCTCTCTAGATCAATGAGGAGGCCGATAAATTGAGTTAATCTAATACTCTACACCATATTGTATACTTTTACACATTAGGAGCTTAGCTAACCCACACTGGAACTTTTACAGAGCGTTTGGTTGGAGGGATTTTAAATTCCCTTCTCACTTAATTCCCACCTAATTCCTAAATTCCGTAGTTTGGTTGGAGGGATTTGCAATTCCATGGAATTGCAATTCCCCCATTTTCATGGAATTAAAATCACATGTCCCCCCATGGGATTTTAATTCATGGGAAAAAAAAAGTTAATGATGAGTCAAAATTACCCCTTCCTTTTTTAACCTAAAATTAATGTCTAACAACAATAATGGACATTTTTGACTTTATACTACTTATTTCCTTTCAATTCCCATGTATACCAAACATTGGAATTGAAATTCCCAGTAATTCTATTCTTGTCAACCAAACACTAGAATTTAAATTCCCACTTTATTCCCAGTAATTCAACTCCCATGGAATTACAATTCCTTTCCCACATAATTCCCCCCTCCAACCAAACGCCCTGTTAATGTTCGAGGTATGAATCAAACTCCCTCTCGATCTGCAAAAAGTTGGAAGCAAATATAAAAAAATTAAATGACTCTTCTCTTCCATTAAAGGTGGTCCGGGTCTTCCTAACTAATCCCCGTTCGCTCCGGGAGGTGGCCCAAAGGGAATCGTCACTTGTGATAATCGAATCCGGGTTATACTAAAATTCTCCATCACAAAGAGAACTCATTTGCCACTTGAACTACCATATTGGGTTTTCTCTTCCACTAGATAATTACTTGTGACAATTTTTTTTTTTCTTTCTTTTTTTTTTTTTTTCAAAAGAAAACGACTTTGGTACCGTGCACATATATCATACACATTTTTTTTTATCATACACTTACACTTTATAATAACGTGAATAGATACTGATCGCATTAAATATAATGAAATATATTATTTTTATTGTGTCAGATACTATAGACAATAATATCTAACAGATTTGTTTGTAATCAAATATACAATAATTTTTTCTTTTTTTTAGAACAATATACAATTTTTTGTTAGAGTAATGTTACATATCTCTCTTATATTTTTGAGTCAATCTTCCCTCTTAATGTAACATTAATATATATATATGATCATAAGGTTTTGAAATCATAATATTCAATACCATATTAACTTAGTTTTGATTCTATATTTAAGTTATTATGTGATGCTATGAATGTTACAAAATGTTTAAAATCTTTTTATTTATGAAAAATTTCACCATACTGCAATTTAAGTGGATTTTAGATTATATATATATATATATATATATATATATATATATATATATATATATATATATATATTTTAAATAAAGAACTAATAAAAGTGAAACAAACTCATTTCTTAAATGACTATATACGGTTGTTTAATCGATATACCAAAAGTGAAACAAACTCATTTTTACTTTTTTTTTTTTCTTGAAATTAATAAGGGGTACCTGGAAACATAAACGATCTGTATACCAAAAACTAATTTATCTCTCTTTAGATCAAGATCATAGACAATAAAGCGAGAAGAATATTAATTCACCTTAGATCTCATGTGTATATTTTACCGTACCAACAGCTTTATTTTACTTCTTGTAAATGTATTGTATTATAATCCTTTCTTTTAGTATAATATTAATATTAATTTGGTCAAACGAAATTCTCTTTTAGAGTAAATTGTACTACTTTATATTCAAAAGATACTATATATAGTACTCGTACAAGATTAATGTTTTTTTCCAACACAATGTCCTAATATACAAAGATTCCAACACAATATATAATAGATTCCTAAATTTATGCTATGATTGATTCTCAACAATCATATATTGTATTCCAATATAGTTGATTTCCTTCCCTATATATACACACCAACTATATATGACTGCTTTCCAAACTTCAAATATTCAAAGAAGCCAATATATATTCACAATACACAAAGAATAGCATCGTCAGAAAACTCCAATGCCAAGCCAAGCTGCTAACTTGAGGAAAAGCCTCTTTGATCAGGTATTTTGATATTCATGGCTTTACAAGTTTTGGGAATATTACCATAGCCTTTTTGGTAACGTAGTTAACTTATCAGTCAATTTTAGCTTATTTGACCACTATTAGCTGTTTGACTTGGTTAAACAATTAATATGAGTGTTAAATTTAAAAAGCGGCTCAAAACAGCTTTTACGATAATCTTTTTCAGCGCCCAATCATGATTGCTTTTAAAATTTTGTTTTTCCTTTTTTTTTTTTTTTCTTCATTCCCTCTCATCTTTTCTTTCCTAATTACACTTGCAAAAACTCCTCAAAAACTGTCTATTGATGATGCTCTTATTATTAGATGGTAAACCGTAAACATGCCATTCCCTTCTTTTTAGGCAGGGTATTTAATCCCTTTATGTTATATTTCTCAAAGCAAAATATATAAGAAAGAATTTTCTTTCCTTTTTTTTTCTGTTTTTTTTTTTTGTTTTTTTTTTTGGTATCAAGGAAAAAATAAATAAATAAAAAAATTATTGAGTAGTACATATTAATTGTTAATTTGGGTATATCAATTGAAATGTATTTCAATTCTTAGGGATACATTGACGATCAATTCATTCAGCTTGAAGAATTGCAAGATGATGCTAACCCTAATTTTGTGGAGGAAGTTGTCAGATTGTTCTACAACGATTCAACTAGGCAGATTCACAACATAGAATTGGCACTGTGAGTATTTTTTTAAAATTATATTATTATTATTATTATTATTATTATTATTATTATTATTATTATTATTATTATTATTATTATTATTATTATTATTATTATTATTATTATTATGTTTTATATGTGTGTATATATATATAATACACGTAATATATTTTCGTTTTTGTTGTATAGGGGAAGTGGAGCTTGTGATTTTACTAAGCTTGATGATATGATGCATCAGTTCAAGGGAAGCTGCTCAAGGTGATAAATTAATCATTTTTCATTATGAGAATATTATGCCGTGGAATATACGTTGTATCACATATAACCATGCATGTTATTTAAATTACGTTGTACGGGATACTTGGTAGCACTTGTGGCACCAATACTCATTATTCAGTAGAGTCAAACATATATACCATGAAATAAGTGGGGGAACATAGTGGAGTATGATTCTCGTACCAGATGGTCACGAGTTTGATTCTTGTCAATACCTTCTTGTTCGAGCTCGTTGCGCAGCACAAAGTGTTTCTAGTGCGGGCCGAGTTACCTTTACACAGAAGCAAGGTTTGCCAACTTATTACATAGCTACTCAAGTAGTGACTCCAAGCACAGATGTCTTGTTTGTAACTATCAACACTGTGAAAAATTACTTTAGAAAACCAACTTATTACACAGCACACATGTCTAGTTTGTAACTATCGATAACGTGAAAAATTACTTTAGAAATTTAATAAGTTTGGACATACTCCATTTGCAGTATTGGTGCCACCGTGGAAAATTACTTTAGAAATTTAATAAGTTTGGACATATTCGATTTGCAGTATTGGTGCCAAAAAGGTGAACAAGGAATGTTCAGAATTTCAGCAATACTGCGATGCTGGAAATATTGAAGGGTATGCCCCTGTTTTTTTTTTTTTTTTTTTTTTTTTTTTTCGGACATTATAACATCTTAAATAATACTGTCATTTTACGAATGATTTTATCTAATTAACTTGTTATAAGATTTGTCAAATAACATATAACAACCGAATATAAAAAATCATAAGAGAAATACAATATAATATGATAATGTTATATTACATGATATCAAAAATTTGTATAGTAAAAATAAGACTTTATTATATGGTATCTCTCAACCAAAAAATGTCCATGTATTGCAGCTGCAGGAGGGCATTCCAACGATTGAAGCAAGAATATTACACTCTTAAGACAAAACTTGAGACTTACTTTCAGGTCTCTCTCAATACATATTGAGACTTACACACACACACACACATGTGTGTAATATTATTTATATTACGCGGTCTAACTTTGGGTATTCGAACTTTAACGTTTCAGATGGCAAAACAAGGTTCTTGAAATTCTGTGTTGTCAAAGCAAAACACGCCATGTTTACACATATAATTATTATGTATAAATATGATAAAATAAGAAGAGTATATCTGTAGATCGATATGCGCTTGCACGCACATATGGACTATTATTATAGTTTATGAGTAGGGTTGAATAAGAGCATTGACATTTCAGTGGTGAGATCTTGTACTATAATGTTTATGACAATAAATTATGTGGTGCTGACATCATCACTGACTCTCTGTCACGTCATCATACTTACATGCCAACTAATATATTATAGAATTCACTCACTACCAATTTATCATATGAAGATAGACAAAGAGTCATCTTCGTCCAAAGTCTAGGATATAATAATAATGCGGAACAAAATAGTTTGATGGTTGTCTTCATACGAAGAATAAATATAGGGGAATATAGCAAACCTGATTAATAATCATCGCTCTCCAATTTTTATTAACGCCTTCATTAAAAATGACATAATCATAATAACAAAATAAATTAATTTACATAAGCATTTCAAATTACCAAACTTAAATAAAGTTGATAACTACCAACATCATTGTTTCACATCATCAAATTCATATTCCAAATTTAACAACAAAACTCTATTTTTTTTAAATTTTTTTATTTTTTGGGACCAATGTGGCTAACCATGCTTGGCCTTCATTTCACCACAAAAGAGCTTATAGTTCTGAAGGTATCTAAAGTCTCCTCATCTGAATAAAGTGAACTTGAGAACTCAAAGATTTGCTCATTCCCTACGTAAGACAATCAACCAGAAAGACAAGTTAAGCCCTCACCACATCATTTTTATATTTCAAATTCGAGGTTGTTTTTGGAATTAATGATTTGATATGCATGCTGCTCCTTTTTCTCTGTTATATGCTATTCCTTCTAGTCTAGCTAATTTAACCAAAAAAAGCAAAAGCACCCAAAAAATAAAAATACAAATAAAAATTTCTTAAGTTTGACATCGATATACACGTGTATATTGTCAAATTATACCATGAACTAGTATGTAACTTGCATTGTGGATCCTAATCTAAAAATAATTTTCAGATTTTGTACATGCAGTAAACACATTCTGTATTTCCAGTTAATCGTTTCTGTACATGTAAACAAATTGAAGTCACATCACATGATAATTACAGACACATAATATAATAACTACACACATAAATTGCTAACTAATATATAGAATGTTAACTGCTAATTATGTTAATAACCAACATCTTGTGTATGTAGTTAATATAGTTTGTACCTCCAGTTAACAATTTATGTATCTATAGCTATCATGTTAACTGCAAGTACATAATATATTAATCGTAATACATAATTTTTTGATTAAGGTTCACAAAGCAATATAAACCCTAACAATTGAATTGTATTGACATAATCAGTAATTATTTTTAATCATACTTAATACAATCATTGTATATATGATTATAATTGTATTGAATACAATCAACACTCACCTACCAAAAACATAGAGTTTCCAATTCTTATTATATATCTCTATTTTAAAAGGGATTACAAGCATGAAACAAACATAGAAACTGAATGAGATACAATAAATGGAAGGTTATTGTGAGAGTGAATAATCTTTTACGATTGTCTGAATAAATTAAAAAAATGATACACTAGGAGCATAATAAAAATATTCATAACACCTTCAAAACATCCCTAAAACATTTTTCTTTCATAATATTAAACTATTAATAAACTACTTTAAAAAAAATTATGATGAATACAAAAATACATTACAATATTTAATTTCAAACTAATAAATATTCTAATTATTTATCTCCCCTAGCTAATAGCTGAATAAGTTAGCTAATAACGAATAGCTTATTGGGTTAGCTGGTTTAACTAGCTGATAGTATTAGGGGTTGTAAAAAAGTGTTTATTAAATTAACTGTTTACTTTTAGTTGATTGGATGTAAAATGACCTATAAGGAAATAAATATATTGTGCTATTTTTTTTTTTTTGAATACTATTGACCACGTTACATGTAGTATCTGTTCATATATACTATTGACCCATGATTTCTCTTGGGAGAGTCACTTACATGCTGCTTGACCATAAGGTCTTTGGCATATATTGTGCTAATTTATTAACTCTTAAATTACTTTTACAATTATTATTATTGTTGTTGTTGTTATTGTTATTATTGTTATTGTTATTAGTATTATTACACGGATGAGTGAAATCAAAAGGAAAGAAAATGGTAATTAGAAGAATACAAGATATTCACATGGTAGAAGATATGTTCCAATAACAGCCGTTCAACATCTATTGGTGAAGGGGTAAAGTCTGCAAAGTAAGGCATGCGTGTTTGTGCGCGCGCACACAGTGAAAAACACGCATTCATAACATTTATGTGTGTGTGCGCAAAAAATAAATGCATTCAAATGCGAGTTGGATAAACTATTGGAATCTGTATGATATATAGATAACAGTGGAAATTCCTTTCAATGTCACATCTTTACCATATGACCTTTAGTATATTTGTCTACTGTTGTTGTTGTTATTATTATTATTATTGTTATTAGTATTATTACAAGGGTGAGCGAAATCAAAAGAAAAGAAAAACATTATTATTGTTGTTACGAAAAAAAAAAAAAAAAAAAAAAAAAGGCGAGACAATGAACAACAACAAGAGACATATAAATGGTAGGGATGTCAATGGTAAAATGGTCATTTCATAATTAAGACCAATTAGTTAACTAAAAACTCTACTTTTTTTAGCTTTTCAGATTTTGATTTATTATCCCCATAAGCTAATGCATAAGCTATTTTACCAAACACTTAAAGAAGCCTATTGACTAGTCAAACTAGCCAAAAGTGGCTAATCAGCTATGCTACCAAACATTGCCTAGTAGGTGTGATGCCTCACTTAAGACTTGCTTCTAGGAATGTGGTGGGGTTTAATGAGCTCCTTGTGCACAAAAATGTACAGGTTAATTGGTATTTGAGTCTTGAAAGTAGATTGACTTGGTTTACCTTCTCATAGGTCTAGGAGCGGATTAAGAGTCGATGATATATTTTGACAAAACAAGAAATCCTGAGTTATAAAAAAAAAAAAATCAATACCTTTAAATATCCAAAAAAAAAAAAAAAAAAGATATATCATTTATTAAAAAGAACTTATTGACTAATATTGTTAGAAATTACACTTAGAGATTCTTTTGAGATAAAATTTAGTTTGTTATGTTTTTTATTATTCTTCCAAAGGCTGTACCCCAAACCTAAAGGCCCCCCACACCCCGGCCCGACAAAGCGGTGGGAGGTTGTAAATCATGGTGACTCAACTAAACATTAATCACAGAGGCTAGACCGGTGCTCCCACACTGCCGCTGGTGAAACTCGATCCCTGATCATTCTTCCAAAGTTTCACCTCTATGACCAGTTGAGCTACCCATGCAAGCAAGTTTTTTATTATATTCTTAGATTTAGTTGTTATCATAATAAACATATAAATACATACTTTTTTTTATAAATCAGACTAGTCATATAAATATTTTCAATTTTATATTAATTCTCCTTCTACTGCTATTTTATTATTCAATTCTTATCTTTTATTATTTTATTAGTCATCCGTTAGACCCTATTTAAATTTTACCAAATATTTTAAAATTTCTATAGGTTTGACTTGAATTTTGTGGTTTAATGATAACTCCAGCTTGTAATCATTGGACTAGCATGCAAAAGAATAAGGTCAATTTCATGCATGTCCGTGACCACAAAATTGTTCATTGTAGAGAAGGTTATCCACATGTGTATGCATATTTATTAAGCAAGGTGTATCTCTTCGTAACTTTCATTATTGATTTTTAATAAGTTTTATGAAATTTAAAAGTTTAGAGGTATTTATTTTAAACTTTTAGAGTCTTTAAAAATTAGATAGTATTCGATTAAGATTTTAAAAGAGTATTTAAAAGTCAAGTAATATTCGATTAAGGCTAAGTTATGTAGTATTCAAAAAGTTATGGATTTTTATACATTTTCTATTTTAGGATTTTTGTAAATTTTTTTCCATCTCAAATGAGTTAATATCCAAAATGGTTCTCGACTATTGTAGTTTTTTTCAATTTCGTCCTAAACGACTTTGGTGACCTAATGTAGTCCTAGACATTTATGTTTTTGTCCAATGTAGTCCTCCATTTGTTATTCCGTCAAATTGGTGTTAAATAGATGGACAATTCAGTAATTGCAATATTGGCTTTTATTTAAATTTAATTATAATGACTAAATAAATCACCCTCTTTACGAATTGTCCCAGTAATCAGTAAATATTTAAATTACTAGGACAATTTGTAATCCATAAAAGAGTTCTATTGAAATTACTTGGACAATTCATAAAAGAGGGGTGATTCATTTAATAATTATAAATAAATTAAAAGAGAGATAAATATTGAAATTATTGAATTGTCCCTTTATTTAACACTAATTTGGTAGAATAACAAACAGAGGACTACATAAAGCAAAAACACAAAAGGCTAAAACTACATTAGGTCACCAAAGTTGTTTATGATGAAATTGAGAAAAAACCACTATAGTCGAGGACCATTTTGGGTATTAACTCCATCTCAAATATAAATAGTTTGAAATTCATCCATCAACCTCAAGATTTCTAAATTTTCTTTTTACCAACTCTGAATGCACTCTCTTTTTATCTAAAATCTATTTTTTTTTCTCTATTTAAACTCTCTCTCTATATATATATATAAACCTTATACCTAAATTCAATCATTTTTTTTTCTTTCATTATAAAATTATTGAATCTTTCTATATATATATATGGTGCGGATTGGCACCAATATAGTCATGTATGACGTGGTTTTATTGAATATTATTAATAATTATTTTTAATAGTATCTTACACAATTATGTATAAAATACATAGTCAAGCATCTTGTGTTTAGATGGCATGTAGTGATCTCTTTTATGTGAGAGGTCATGAGATTGAGCCTCTGGAGGTGTTATTAACTTTTTTGTGCTTCATTAGGTTGAGAAAGTACGTTTGAACAGATATAGAGTCGGTAGCATTCAAAAAAAAATGTATAAAATACATAATTATAATTGTATAGAATACCGGTGATACTATAAAAGTTCCTAATTTTTATTTTAAAAGGAATCACATATATGCATGAAACAACTTTCG